GTCAGGAGGTATCAATCCCTGGAGAAAGACATCATGCTTGGTAAAGTAGAGGGTCAGAGAAAAAGAGGAAAACCCTCAATGAGATGGATTGATAGTGGCTGCAACAATGGGCTCAAGCCTGGCAACAATTGTGAGGGTGCCATGCACATTATTTACATTATTAGCAAATTGTCCAGTCTCCTCTGTGGGCCACAAGCACCTTATTTGCATAGTTCCACCCAATCATTTGGTGGGAGTTACAAGACCATGGCGAGAAAGGCCATAGAAAATCAATCCATTGTACTGCAGACTGCGAAATTAAACAAAAGGAATATATAGACTCATTTAATGGAAACAATAGTGAGAGAAATCACAAAATTGAAGGAAAAGCAGCAGGTACCAGGCCTCTGAAACCAAAACTCAAAACCACCAAGGCACACACTCTCATGCCTGCTTGGCTTCTTTCTGTCAACAATCTCTCTCCACATGGACAGTAAGATAGTGTAAAAATGGTGTGGGGGTGGTGTCTGATCTCTAATTTCACAAGGGGGAAGGAGAATCAAGATCAACAGCCCAAGGATGATTCCTATGAGGCAGAGGTCAGACATGCCTCCCCTCTCTGCCATCTTTACCAATTCTGACACTAGCCGTCCCTCCCACGGCACTCTCTACTTATCTGTTGTGTTCTATAATTCATTGCAATGGCCACACAGAACTCAGACAATACTCACAATTATGGGGTTTATTAGGGAAGTAACAGGTTACCATTCAGGTTCAGGAATGCTCAGGACATAGTTCTTCCATCAGGACAGCCTCTTCCCAGCTGTGCAGCAGGTATTCGTCTCTCTGCCCCCTCAGTCTCTGCCCAAAGACACTCAGCTTTCTCGCTCCATGGGCCAGGAAGCCAACTGTGCCATCTCCTGCCTGTTTCTCCTGCTGGTCCCTCCTGCCAGTCTCTCCTGTCGATGTTTCTCTGCCACCGCTTCTTGCTGTCTTCAGTGTTACAGTTCTCTGTCCCCTGGGTCCAGGAGCTTCTCAGTGCAGGGAATCCTGGATCCAAAGGATACACTGCCTCTTCTTCCTTGGTGGCGGTGGGATCCTGTCTTTCCCGACTCTGGGGTGGCTCATTTCAAGCCCAGCGGGATGACAAAACTGACCAATCCTCTCATTATTCCACAATCTGCACAGTCTTGCCCAATCACTTGGGCGGGAGTTACAAGACCACAGCGAGAAAGGCCACACAAAAGCAATCTATCACACCGCAGGTGGTTGGCAGGAGTCTGAATTTCACATTCTCTTATCTTCAATAACCTCAGCAAAAGCACACATACTTTCTCTTATCATCCACATACTAATTTCACAGAAGGATTCTGATAAGCCTGGCTTATGTGGTCATAGACTTAAACTCTTGAAATAATTATTTTTGCTAGAGAAACCATGATGGATCTAGATTGTATCACGTTGCCAGACAGTATGTCAGGCATTGAGTATTCAGCGGTGAGAAGAAGAAACACAAAAACAAACTCAAACAAACCACCACCAACAACAAAATACCACCGTTTCTGCCCTTATAAAACTTACGGCCTAAGCACAACCACTCACAGATATAGGTTTGATGGCGGATATTTTTACATACATAATTGTAGGTGCTGCCTGTATATTAATATAGACAATAGAGCACACAAGGGGCACAGTCATGGAAACCTCTTAGATATAACTGAACACCTTGCGGGATGAAGTTCCTGGGCTCAAAGGTGAAAGACCATAGACTCAGGGGACATATACATCAATTGGCACAACATAGGTCATCAAGCCAATGTTCTGCATCCTACTTTGATGAGTAGTGTCTGGGGTCTTAAAAGCTTGCAAGTGGCCATCTAAGATACAACTATTGGTCCCTTCCCATCTGGGGCAAAGGAGGGTGAAGAAAACCAAAGACTCAAGGGAGCAGTTAGTCCAAAGGACTAAAAGACCACATGAACCACAGCCTACACAACCCCGTGATCAGAAGAACTAGATGGTACCTGGCTACCACTACCAACCACTCTGACTACAATCACAACCAAGGGTCCTGGACAGAGCCGGAGAAAAATGTAGAACAAAAAATCAAATATTCACAAAAAAGACCAGACTTACTGGCCTGACAGAGACTGGAGGAACCCCTAAGACTATGGCCCTAAGACACCCTTCTGACCTGGAACTGAAGCCATTTCCAGAGACCACATTTCAGCCAAACAATAGACAGGCCCATAAAATAAACAATAACACCTGAGGGGAACATGTTTCTTAGAACAATCAATTATACAAGATCAAAGGGGCAACATTTGCCCAAAAGCAAAGATGAGAAGGCAAGAAGGTATAGAAAATCCGGACAAAAGGAAATGGGGAACCTAGGGAGGAAATGGGGAGAGTGCTGACACATCAAGGGGAATGCAACCAATGTCATGGAACACTTCATGTACAAACTATAGAACGGGAAACTAATTTGCTCTATAAACTTTCACTTAAAGCACAATGAAAAAATTAAAAAACAAATAAACAAAAACACTTATAGCCTAGTAGGAGAGAGAAATGACACAAATCAATATAAAATCACCATGGTATATATTATAAGAACAAGTACATGGCGCTAGGAGACCATAGCAGGGAAAGTGATTCATTCCAGAAATTCAGGGAAACCTCCCTTGAGAAGGTGATGGCAGAAATTAGATCAAAAAGAGGAAGGTAGGCATGGAGGGCTATTCTAGGCAGAGGTTATAACATGTACAAAGTCCCTGTGGCATCAAGAAGCATTGCTCACTGGAAGACCTGAGATAAAGCCACTATGGCTAGGAAGAGTGTGGTGTGAAATGAGGCCGAGGAGGTGGATGGGGGAAGACTATGCAGATTGTTATAGGCCATATTAAATATTTGGTACTTTATCTTAAAGCCATTTAATGTTTTATGGGGGTGGGGGAAAGGAGTAGACATGAATAAATTTGTATTTTGAGAAGATAACTCTGATTATACTATAGAGAATAGATTGGAGTTAAGTGACTGTAAGAAGATACACTGAGTTTTAAATCGATTTCCAACAACAGCATTATGTATTTCTGCCTCCTCCTACTTTCCTATCAAGTAGGACATGTTTAAAAAAAAAAAATCAGTTAAATGAATGAAAGAAGCTTTTAGATCAGTGATTATTTGCTCTGTGAAATGGTTCCCTTAGTTTTTTTTTTTTTCTTTGACTATAGTCTGTATTTCAGGCACACCGACTTCCTCTTTTAAGGAGGTCAGGAAAATAAGGCAACAGGATCTCTACATAATATATGAGAAATGACGAGACCCTACACCTTCACTTAATCCCTAGGTTTCTCAAGGTTTTAAATACTATTTACACCCTTATGAAGGGCCCTGGTGATGCAGCAATGGTTAATCCACCCGCTGCTCCTTGGAAACCCTATGGGGCAGTTCTACTCTGTCCTATAGGGTCTCTATGAGTCAGAATCCACTCAAGGGCAACGAGTATAGTTTTTTGGTTTTTACACCCTTATGATGAGGCATTGGGGGTGTAGGTGGGGAAGCTCAGTGGTAGAATTCTCACCTTCCATGTGGGAGACCCGGGTTTGATTCCTGGCCAATGCACCTCATGCACGCCCACTGCCTGCCTGTCAGTGGAGGCTTGTGTGTTGTTATGATGTTGAACAAGCTCCAGCGGAGCTTCCAGACAAAGACGGACTAGGAAGAAGGGTCTGACATCGCCTTCAGAAAATCAGCCAATGAAAATCCTGTGGACCACAATGGTCAGATCGCGTTGTGCACAGGGGTCTTCAGGAGTCGGGAAGACTGGAGGGCAGTTAACAAAGGCAATACATACTTACTGCCTTCTGACTCCCTCTACATTCTATATATAAACTCTGGGAGACCAAGGATTTTGTCTCTCCTTTAGCGCTGTCACCTTAACGCAACCCGAGATGCTCCATAAATACTTGCTGGAGTGAATAAATGAATATTTTATACCACCACACATGTGATAATTCAAGGAGGTGTTTGGGCGTGTGAAAATCAACGGTGGCAGACATTTACAAATAAAGAAAACCCTAGAACAAGGCAACGAATGGAAAGTGGGGTCAGCTGGTTGAAGCAGGTTCCACAAGCTGTTCCAGTTTCCCTCAGGAGACACTTTTTTTTTTTTAAACTAAGCCAGCCGGCATCCTTCTGTTTTTGGCCATCGTGGGTATAAATCTTCTCGTTTCACTCTGCACCTCACCCCTTAGCTGACCGCGTGACCACGTCCTGCCCTCCTATAAGCGAGCACGCGCGGCTTCTGGCTCTAAATCGCACTTGAACACCTGGTTATCTCCTAGTCTGCACGGATGACATTCGGTTCTAGGCTACACGGGAGACTTTAATCGGACAGTAAAAACGGCACGATTCTCGTTGACCTCCTCCACAGTACTAGTAACTTAAAACTAAAAACATCAACGGGGGCGACCGGTTAGGAAGCAGAGCGCACACTGCAAAGGGATGCTTCCTACCAGCCTCTGGGGTTGATGGGAAGCGAAGTCGACGTCAAATGTCCTGATCCAAAATGGCAGGTTACCCGGGCGTGTGCACAGGGGTGAAGATAGGGCTGTTGGGAGAAGCCAAGATGAGGAGGGAGTACGAAAGAATAATTGTCTGGATCCAACATGAATGCGGTAGTTATGGGATCTGGAATAGCCAGGAACGACTGGGGCATCCAGATATCCATATTCCAAATGGTAGGGACAGTTAGCAGGCCAGGCGAGGTGGCCAAAGGCGACATTGACCTAATCCAAAATGGCCGTAAGTTATTACCCGGAGCTCAAAAGAGGCGATTACCCTGATCCAAGATGGCAGCGGAGATTGAGAAGAGCCGAGGCGAGGGGAGCGCCGGTAGCGTCTTTGCCCTCAACCAAGATGGCGACCGCCGTGGGCGCTGTCCCTAGCTCCGCCCCGCGGCCTCGGCCCCGCCTCTCCCTCGTCTCTCCCTCCGCCCCCTCGCTTTGCCCAGTCAGGTCCGTGATGCTCGCGCTGGGAGAACCGGCTACTGGCGATTGACATGGCGGCAGCGGCGGCGACTGCGGCGACGAAGGGGAATGGGGGTGGCAGTGGCCGGGCCGGGGCCAGCGAAGCCAGCGGCACGCGGAAGAAGAAGGGCCCGGGGCCTCTGGCCACGGCGTACTTAGTCATCTACAATGTGGTCATGACGGCAGGGTGAGGCTGAGGCTCAGGAACCGGGGAGGCAGGGAGCGAGCTTGGCAGGGGAGGAGGCTCTGCGGCGGGCAGAGCGACTCGGCCCTCTTCGGGCTGTGCAGCCCCGGCGGTCGGAGTCAGAGACCAGGCACCTGGGCGGTGAGGGCGGCTGAGTGCTGAATTGGCCCTGGTCCCTGCCCTGGAGCTCCGCCCGGAGTGGCGGGCCGAGCCAAGTTCCCGGACACCGGGTCTTCCCTGGGCTGGAGTTCGGTGGGAGGAGAGAGACGCGGGCTCCGAGAGGGCGGGAAAGGCTGGCCAGGCGCTGGCTCAGGGAGGCCTTAGGAGGACGGGTGGGCTGGCCACTGCAGGTCCAGGTCTGAAGGGCAGTGCGATCCTGCAGCCCCGAGGGAGAGGGCCCAGGCGGCCAGTCACGAATGGTGAACTGTTCCCTCTTGTGGAGTGGAGGGAGCTGTGGCTGCGGAGTGACCATCTATTTAGGCGGCTGTTTTCAAAATCCAGGCTGAGTTTTCATCTGAAAGGTAATGGAGAAGTGTTCAAAGTTTTTGACCAGTGACATGAACAGAGCTGTGCTAAGATGAGTTTAGACTTTTTAGGATGGATTGGGGTGGGGAACACACTGGGGATGGAAGGCAGTTTTTGGGAAGGGGGGCGGAATAGACCCTGGAAACAGGTTTTACCCCTCTTGTTTCTCCCTCATTTCAATCCATCCCTTAACTAGAACTAGTGTTAGTTCTAGTTCTGACACTAACTAGCTTTGTGACCTTGGATAAATCACTTTGTTTTTCTAGGCCTCCATTTTTCATCTGTAAAGAGTTGGACTAGGTGACTTCCAAGGTTCCTCCAACTTTGCAATTCTTTGATCTTGTGGTTTTGCTGAGGAAGATCACAGGGTCAGACTATTTGTTATGTATTTTTTAAATTACATTTTTTTTTTTAAAATGTTTTTTCCTATATGCAATAATTGTGATTAAAAATTTAAAAAAATGTTTTTTCCTAAGTTTTATTATGAAAAATGTCAAACATACAGAAAAGTTGAAAGAATTGTGAACATCCAGTTTTATTTATTTTTTAAAATATTAATATCTTGGCAGGGTTCAAAATTCAAAATATACCCAAAGGCATGCATTGAACATCTTCCCTCTCCCTCTTCCCCTCCACCCAGATCCCCTCCCTGGAGGCAGCTAATTTTGTGCGTCCTTCAGATGCTGTTAGGAGCCCTGGTGGTGCAGTGGTTAAGCCCTCGGCGGCTGGCTGCTAACCGAAAGGTCGGTAGTTCAAACCCACCGGGGTTCAAACTCACCAGCCACTCCTCAGGAAAAAGATGTGGCAGTCTGCTTCCGTAAAGATTTGCAGCCTTGGAAACCCTATGTGGGCAGTTCTACTCTGTCCTGTAGGGTCGCTATGAGTCAGAATGGACTTGAGGGCAATGGATTTGGTTTTGGTTTTTCAGATGCTGATAGAAGCAAATATGCATATACATTCTTCCCTCCCCCTTGCTCTTTTTTACACAGATGATAATGTCATATATTTACAATTCACCACCTTGCATTTTTCACACACACACACACACAAAAATATCTATACAGTATATATTGGAAGGATCATAGGCTTACTAGTAGTATGTGAAATGGTAGTGTTGAAACCTAAGCTTAGAGAAGTTGTGACTTGCTTGAGGTCATAGAACTTGTTAGTAGCAGATCTATATCTGGAACCTGTTTCTGTTGATTCACAGGCCAATGAGGGAATATTACAGATACGAGTTTTCTTTAGCACATAAATGGTCATATAGACTGATTTTTAAAAGAACATTCAATAATTTTTGTGTATGTATTTCTGTTTATATGTAAAATTCTTATTGTCTTAGCCAAGGCATCGATGAGAGCAGTGGACTAGAGAGAGATTTTAAGGTACATTGGGGAAGAAGGAAAGAACTCTTTATTTCTAAACAATGAACATAGAGAATGGGGTAGAGGATAAGAAGTGGTGTCTTAAACCAGGAAGAAAAATTGGGATTATGAGAGTAAAATCAGCTTTTTCTATGCTGCTAATGGAATTTCTGGAGTCCCTGGGTGGTGCAAATGGTTAAAAGCTGGACTGTTGACCAAACGGTCGCAGGTTCAAGTCCACCCAGAGGCACCTTGGAAGAAAGGCCTGGGACTCTACTTCCAAAAAAATCAGCCATTGAAAACCCTTATGGGGCACAGTTTTACTCTGGCACATGGGGTTGTCTGTCATGAGTCGGAGTCGACTTGATGGCAACTAGTTTTAAAGGAATTTCTAATTCTCTTAAGGAATTCATTTCTTCTTTTACAAACTCTTTTTTGAGGTTCTTGTATGATATTTTCTAGAACTAGCATAGACCACCTACCCCATTTCCTCTTTGAGATTGTACACTTAGTAAATCTATTACTTCTTTCAAGGAGACATACCTTAAAAATTAGGATCCATTTGCTTTATTATGGAGTTTAACAGATTAAAAAAAAAATTACAGGGCCTGAGAAATCTATTTTTGAGGAGGACAGTAGAGCAGAGATGGAGCATTCACAGCTGTAGGCCTAAGTGCTTTGTATTGTGTTTAGTGTATTGATCTGGCTTTCTTCTCTGAGTTGGTGGAATTCAGCTAAAAAACCTTTTCTTATTTCATTTGCAATTTGAAAAGTATAGATTTTAAGGTATGGTTATGTTCCAGGGAGACACTTACACATTAAACTTTAAAACATTTTTTCACCACCCCATTACTATTAAAGACCCTTTAACCGCCATTTGAAAATTTCCGTTAACAGCTTTTTTCTCTTGTGTTAGACTTTCTGGCATTGCTCAGGGACCATTTCAGCTTATTTCCTTCATTTTGGCCTTGTTCTGAACAGGCAAAGTTGCCAAAAAGCTGAGCTCCAGATGGGTGAGGTGCCACCATGCCTCTGCAGCGTGCTCTTGCTAGGGTGCTGGTGGTGGTACAACACTCCTGTGCATTACAGCCTGGCTCTTGAGAGCCATAGTCAGTAAATGTAGGATTCCTGTTCTTGAGGTCAACTTTAGCAATATGAGTTGCCACATCTTTCTATTACCTTAAATCCTACCTACCTACGTTTTTGTTTTTTCCTCTGATTGCTCGTTTTCTCTTTTTCTTAGGTGGCTCGTTATAGCGGTTGGTCTGGTGAGAGCATACCTGGCTAAGGGTAGCTATCATAGCCTTTATTATTCGATTGAAAAGCCTTTGAAATTCTTCCAAACTGGAGCCTTATTAGAGGTAGGTCCTGAGATTTGTTGTTGTTATTGATTGCTATTGTTATAAAGGAAAAAAATGTGCTACTAAATTATATTGAAGCAGCCATATCTCTGTTGGATTTGCTTTACAGTTTGAAATTTTGCCTCATAGTATACTAAAATGTTAATACCTAGACTATCTTTTCGACTTTCTAGATAAGGTAAAATCTCATTTAACCTGTATTACCTGGAATATAGTTTACGTTCAACTTTTGGGGAAAAAATGAAGCAAGCTTATATTACAATTTAAAGAAAAATTCTAAGGACATCCTATGGGAGCATTAATAAACTCACATACCTTGAAAGGCCAGGCATATAATAGAAACAGTGAAGTTGGTGGGTGTAGGGTATCAGGAGTGATATCAGAAAGGGTAGAGCCTGCATTCAAATTAAAAAATATGTATTTTTAACAGAACTATTAATTTCCCTGTATTAAGGGTAATAGATAGCCATTCCTGTCTCCTGGGGTAAGTATATGTTAGGATTTTTGAATTGTAACAGAAACCCAATTCAAACTGTTCCAAGCAAGAAAGGAGTTTGCTGGTTTCTGTAATTGATAAAGATACAGGAATAACTTACTGAATCAAAGGAACCAGCTCAAGGACTAGAACCAAGGATTTGACATTGCCAGACTCTTTCTTATCTCTGTTTCTCTTTGAATGTTGGCCTTAGGCTAGGCGCTCCTACAATCTTCTCCACCTGGTGGGAAATGGGGAGAGCATTTATTTTTCTCTGCCTCTGTCACAGTTCTAGGGAAGGATTCTGGTTGGCCTTATTTGTTGCAAGTAATGTGAGATACTTGATTGGCCAGGTAGGTCTAGGACACATACCCATCCTTCTGGCAAGAAACCACAGGCTTTGTTAATGGAGAAGGGAGAGTGGGGATAGCTTTGGACACACAGTAGTTCCTGGATGATGCAAATAGTTAAACTACACTTGACTGCTAACCAAAAGGTTGGAGGTTTCAGTCCACCCAGAGGCACCTTGGAAGAAAGGCCTGGCAATCTACTTCTGAAAAATCAGCCATTGCAAAGTGTTTGGCACAGTTTTACTCTGACACACATGAGTACGAATCAACTGGACAATGACTGGGGTTGGGCACACAAAGTCGATATCTACCATAGTTAATTACAGTGAAAAACCTTCAATTTGCAGGGAAGATCTGGTGTTGAATTCATTTCACTTAGCCTCCAGGGCAAGCCCAATATGACATTTATACCTCTGGCAATTTTTAAAACCTAAACTGTGGAATGATATTTAAGAAAAAATAATTTACCTCAATAAAATGAGATGAGATACTTCTACTTCCCACCCTCACTTTTGAAAGCATAAAGTTGTAGGTTTTGTTTTTCTCTTAGAAACCGAAGGGATTTCACTACTATCCATACTTAACTATTTTAGGTAGATAGTATGAGTTGGACTCCACCCAACAGCAGTGGGTTTTTTTTTTTTTTAATGATGAAATGAGCTTCCAGCTGAGGACCCTTATTCTAAGTATGTTGGTCTTACCAACCTACTCTGTGAATTTGGGCAAGTCATTTATCTCTTTTCTTTCTCATTTTCTCATTTGTAAAATGATTAAGGTTAAAGTAGATTTCCAAGATCCCTTCCTGCCCTATCATTTTGAGTCTGAGGAAACAACAAATCCTAATGCGAGCCATTTTTCTGAAAAGGGGCAGCAGTAAATAAGTAGTCCTTTGTCTCTCAGAGCTTTGGCCAGCAGAATTCTCTCCAGCTACGCAGAAGGCAGTTTAGGGTCAGCAGCATCACCACAAGCCCCTCCAGTGCTTGATGTAGTAGGGAGTTGTAGCCAGTTGGGATTGTTAAATAAAAAACAAATCTAGACTTTGGTAGGGAGAAGCTTTATTCAGAAAGAAAAGAGGGAAAGGGACGGGGACTACTGTAATAGTTGGGGAAGAGGACTACAACAGTAGAGAGAATGCTACAAGCATCTCAAAGAGTTAGGGAAAAAGCATTTATCTTTTATAGAGACCGAGCATGAACAAGGCTAGGAAAAAACCAGGTGTAGGGAACTGGGATGAGCAGGTGATGGCATTGGATAAGCCCATCAGAATGCTTTACACTGAGGTCAGCCTATTTTCTGGGAGGGGTCCTGAAAGAGGGGTAGTGTGTTAGCGCATACTGAGGGAGGGCCACAGTTCAGGGACTTGAGGGAAGGAGAGAAGCTTAACAAAAGTTTGGTTAACAAGCACTTTATTTCTGATTATCAGTGGGGACAAGCAATTCAGTTGCTCATTTATGGGGCAAGGAATGGGAATTTGGAGGGTCTGCGTCTTGGCCTTGTCATAGGTAAACAAGGGGACCCCTGTGAGTCTAAGTCATATAGGAACCCTGGTTATTTGCAGTAAGCCATTTTCCTGAACACGGAGGATGGGATTTCTTAACCATCGCTGTTTTCCAGTATCACAGGGTTCAGGTAAAATTCAACATTAACAGAATACCTCACTAATTTAAAGCGATTCTATCTGTGTAACACTTCGTAATATGCGCTGTACAATTTTTTTTTTTTTTAGCTTTAAGTATATCTTAGGAAAGGTAGTGACATTAAATAGTGTGGTAAAAAATCCACTGAGGAACCAATCTTGGACTTTGAAGGATTAGCCCATTTATCCCAATATAATTTTTAATAGGGATTTAAGAAAATATTTTGGATTTGGGGATTTATGTCTCTTATAACCACTAAGAACCAATTAGGTGATAAGTCCTGGATTTGATTTTGGGAAAAGTCTGCGTAATGAAGACTCCCAGGAATATGCAGTTAATGAGCACTGCAGAGGTCAGTGATAGCAGAAGCCCCCTCAGATGGGGACGACAAAGCAAGCTTATCAAAATGGCATTTGCTGTGTAGTCTCGTTAATGAGTGTTTCATTGCCTACTCGACCTACATAATGTAGTAATTGCATGTACGAGACATTGTTTAATTACAGATAACAGTTATGGGAATTCTTAGTGCTTGACAATATATCCTGTTCATAGGAGAAGAAAATGAATTCAGGGAGGTCAGCTACTCTGTCTCTGTATGCGGAATGTTATTCTTTAATAGGTTCTGTGGGAGCTTGCTTCAAAAAGAAATAGAGATTACTTGTTCTCAATAAATTTCAAATCTTCTTAGGAAAATATAACATTTCACTTTTTTAATACCAAGCAAGTGCAAATAGGCATATACTGTAGTGTAATACCAAAAAAAAAAAAAGACAACTTAGTTTCTGAGGAAATTAAACAATTTTTTTGCAAAATGGAGTATAAAGTTATACAATAGTACAGGTTTTTTAATACAATGGACACAAATCCTAATTTTTTTCTACATATTCATCTAAGAAACGTCTTGAGCATTTTTTATAGTTTTCCAAATGACTCCACAAGTGATAATTTAAGTATGTGCTTGAGTCACTGTTGTAGGTTCTGTGGAGGCTGAGTCCGTGTTATTAAGGAGATGAAAATCTTTATTGGGTAGATGATTACATTACGACTCTTGGCTGCAGATAACAGAAACCTCATTAACTAACTTAAACAGTGAGAGGGATTTATTGTAAGTATCCAAGGTATCCCATGGAATCCAAGGGCAGGGATGCAGGTAGGCCTTTGGAATTGCCTGGAATCAGAGACTGGAGCATAGGAGGGAACCTCGGCGTTCTTGCCCCTTCTCTTATCTCTCCTGTTCTCTCTGTCTAACTCTGACTTATTTTTCTCTTCTTGCATTCTAGTTTTCTCAGTTTATTAGTATATGTGGTAGATAATGGCAGCAGCCAAAAGTTCCTGAGATTGTCATTCCTGCAACCAAGGACTAAAACAGAATCTTAGTCCCAATTCCACAATCCCAGCGAAGGGCCTAATTTGTCCGGTTTAAATCAGATGCTCTTTCCTGGACCAGTTAACCAGGAGTGCTCACCCCTGGACCAACTACCTGTGGACAGGGGCAAGGCCACATGTAACCATGTAGGAGGTTGGAGGCAGTTTGTAGAAAAAGAGATGCTAGATGGAAAGCCCAAAAAGTATCTACCCAAGTACTCAGACGCACGCTACAATGAAGATTATTGCGTGATAATTTGACAAAAAATTAACAAAAAGTAAAATGCTAATTACCAGTGTTGTAGGCCAAGAGATCACTGTGGGAATAAATGTATTATGTCTTGAGTTGTATCCTGAGTAATCCTAAGAACTAATTAACGTTGATAGCAAAGTTTAATTTTAAAAATGCTGTTCATGGCTAAACAAAATATGATATATCCATACAATGGAATATTATTCAGTCATAAAAAGGATACATGCTACCACATGAATGAATGTTGAAAATGTTACTTTAAGTGAAAGAAGCCAGACACAAAAGGCCACATATTGTATGATTAAATATATATGGAATGTTTAGAGTAGACAAATACGTTGCAACAGTAGATTAGTAGTTACTGCTAACCTTTTTATCAATTCTGACACCATTTGTCCCTCACACAACACTCTCTACTTGTCTGTTGGGTTTGATAATTCATTGCAGTGGCCACACAGAACTCACAGACCATACTCAAGATTATGGAGTTTATTAGGGAAGTAACCAGGTTTCAATTCAGGATCAGGAAATACTCAGGATACAGTTCTTTGATCTGGACAGCCTCTTTTCAGCCATGACCACAGGCAGGCCTCTTGGCCCCTTAGCCCTTCAGCCTGGCTCTGCCCTGCTTTAGGTCTTTAGCTCCTCCAGTAAGTTTCTGGGGGACCTCCCTCTGCCAGCAAGCCTTGGCCCAAAGGCGCTCAACTGTCTTGCTCTGTGGGTCAGCTAACCCACTATAACCACCTTACTCTGTGGGCCAGGAAGCCCACTGTGCTATCTCACACCAGTCTCCTGGTTCTGTTGCTGCTGCTTCTCTGCCACTGCTTCTCTCTGTCTTACAAGTCTCCAGAGTTACTGCTCTCTCTCTCTGTCCCCTGGGTCTAGGAGGATCTCAGCACAGGGACCTCGGGTCCAAAAGA